AAATCCACAGAGGACTACTATACTATACTAACAGGTAAATCCACAGATGACTACTATACCAGTGGTTCTCAACTGGTCTGGCTGCAGGACCCACCATCACCCCTTAATGGCAAGCCGCGACCCACGACCCAAATTATATATATACTGTATATATATATATATATATATATATATATATATATATATAATTTGGGTATATCTATATTCAAGAAGTCTAGTAGTAGTAACGTCTCTGTGTAGTAAACAACTGCCAAATCAAAGAAAGTACACATCAATTATATTTTAACTAATATTATTCAAATTGAACTGGATGGATTATAAATAATACATAGAAATACATGAATAAATGTTCTTCTCATTTCAAGTAAAATAACGGCTGGATTAAAAATTAAATTACGTAACAGAATTCATTTTAGAAAAATTATTTTCACTGAATTGCCCTGCAGCTTTAAATTCAGTTCATTCAGGGTGAAGTGAAAAAGCTACGATATTATATTTTTCTCATCTTCTAAAAAGAGAAATTAGTGTTGGAAGAATTCACCTATTTGAGTCTGTCCAGTCAGAGTCTAATGACTCTGGTCTCTCTGGATGTTCTTCTCTTTTGGAAATCGTTCTATGATTTTGACTTTTACAACTAATGTTACAATAGTCCTGCTCTGCTGTCGATATCCTTGTACCTCCCCCGTGTGTCACGGTGTGTGTACATCTCATTGAGTCAGGAAACTTGTCAGAATGGCCATATTTAATTGGCTGAGCTGCATCACGTGATGTGATTCACAACGCATTGGTCGGTGTTTTTCCTGCACCGCTGAACAAGTGCCGTAAATGCTTTCGGGTTGAACAAGATATCTCTCAGCTGGCCCTGGTAGGCGGCGTAAAAAATAACAGCGCCCCCCTGGGACACAGATTTATACCTCAATCAAATAATAAAAGACTGCACTCACTTTGCCAGCTAATTTCCATGTCATATCTAATAACAAATTGCATGTTGACGTCGATGTGTTTCTACTTAAACACTTAAACGCAGCACATAAACCCATGACATGACACCAAATTCATCTCTCTCTCTCTAGCACACACACATTACTTACCCTGTTGTCTGGCTGCTGTCTGTCGAGGGATATGTGGAGAGAGTTAGGAGAGAGTTGGTTATGTTGAGCCAGTATAAGAGCTAAGTTTGAAGTGAAAGGGTCAATGGTCAAAGGTCAGTTCACTCATCAATTCCACTGGGTTTGCTACAACCAAACTGGTTGCACACAACACCGTCACCAAAACAAAAACGGTCTTTATCTGTAAGAAAAAGAACCCCCCCAAAAAATTGACTAAATTAAGGACCAGATAAGACAGGTGGAAAGGTGGACAGACAGACGGACGGACAGACGGACGGACAGACGGACGGACAGACGAATAGATAGACAGACGGACAGACGGATAGACAGACGGACAGACGGATAGACAGACAGACAGACGGACGGACAGACGAACAGATAGACAGACAGACAGACGGACAGACAGACAGACGGACAGACAGGTACCTTGGTGGAGCTCATCTTCCTGCTGACACACTCTGCCAGGCTTCTGCCGAAGTGTCTCTGTGCCCAGCGAGCAAAGTCCACCTGCTGTTTGATTATCTCATGCCCAAATATTATTACTGAGAAAAAATTGAGTAGAGGTCATTATGGTGTGTGTTATCAAAGTGGATGGGATGCCTTTAGGACAGACCAAGGGCACCACAAGAGCAGCAAGTGTACCAAACAGGTGGCAAAAAAAGTGAAGCCAATGCAGAAATGCAAAAACAATTAAAGCTACGAGCAGCGATGAACGGGCCCTCGCAATCTGCAGCGCGTCGGGGGTGGCGGCGGGACTCCGGCCTGCGCGGCCGAGAACATCCGCGACCGTCGGACAGCGCGTCTGCGAGCGAGACGTTTTTAATTCACGTAAAATGGCCACCACGCCACGGCCACGCCGTTGCATCAAACGTAAAGCTTTGAGTAACTTTTAATAGCAAAGGTCTTTAGATTATACTGACCAAATTTGAAGTGGATCTGACAAAGTCCCTAGGAGGAGTTCGTTAAAGTATAGCGACTAGAAATCAAGAGAAAATTCACACAAAAATTAAAATGGCCGACTTCCTGTTCATTTTAGAGCATTGTCCCAAGACACTTTTTTTTAATTCGTCATGTGATACAAATTGTATAGATGTAGGTCAAACGTAGCGCTGGGGCTGCATTTTCGAAAATTTGTAGGGGGCACTATCGAGGCAATTTGAAAGGGTCAAGCCAAAAAGCCATATGAAATATTTATTTCCATCACCTATGACACCTGTGCAAAGTTCCAAGGCTTGTTGAGCATCCTAAGTCACAGAAAAATAAGCTTAATTTTTCATGGCGAATAACGCGTTGCCACGGCAACAGCGTTTAACGACAACTCACAATATTCATGGTGAAGCATTATCAATGTCTTACGGCTTAGCTTACCAAATTTGAGACTGATCTGGGCAACTTCCTAGTCGGAGTACATAAAAGTATAAAACTTGTCATTTCATTTTGCCAGTAGGTGGCGCTATGACTTTGTGAAAATGTTGGCATGGAAATGTGCTCAGGCCTGGACCAGCATCATGCAGAACTAATTTGGGGCAGATTGAATAAAGTACCTTGGAGTTACAACAACTTCCTCTTTCATGGCGAACGGCACGAAATGTGCGTGACATGGGCGCCATATAAAACGAAGGTCATTCAATGTCAGTAGACCATTTCAGTAACTTTCATCATTAATGTCTTTAGATCATCTTGACCAAATTTGAAGTTGATCGTACAAATTCTGTGGGAGGAGTTCGTTAAAGTACAATGCCTGAAAACGATGGAAAATGCCTAAAAATGCAAAGAAATGGGGGTATTACTGCATCGCCCCCTAGTGGTTGTATGGAATGAAAATTTGAGGGCATGTTACAGGACACGATGTCAACATATGCTACGGATTTCGGGATGATAGGCCATATGGTTTTGAAGTTATACTATATATTGATGTAGAAGGCCACGCCCTATGAAGTTCATTGGTCCATATATTCTTAATACAATGACATATCAATTAGCCTTTAGTAACTTTTAATTATATAGATCCAATAATGATTCACAGCAAATTTTGTATCAATCAGACCCAGGGTCTAGGAGAAGTGAATTTCTTTTTTTTTTTACAAAATTCAAAATGGCGGAAGATTTTGGAAGGCGGAGCTTAGGGTCCCAAGAGGATTTTTTGTAGAACTCATTCAGTTGCTCATGTTTGTAAAATTTTAAGTCATTTGGATATACGGGCTGTCGGGGCTTGCATTTCCAACTTCTAGGGGGCGCTAGCGAGCAATTTTGTCATCCTCGAGCATGGGACCCATAAAATATCAAATTTTCCCGCAATCCTGATATGCTTGCCAAATATGGGGATGTTGGAGACATGCTAAAGCCCCCAAAATGGCGTTTCATTCGAAAGAAAAAGAATAATAATAATAATAATAATAATAATAATAATAATAACAATAATAATAATAATAATAATTCCTACAGTTTCAATAGGGACCTCACGGCCCGACGTCGGTGCTCGGGCCCTAATGATTACAGTCGGCTACATGAGAGGCACAAACACAAGCAGCCAGAGTTGTGTGGCGTTGTCCTTAGAGAGAGTGCATTGACACTGTTAGAGGATGCTACAGGAAATTGGAATTTGACCTCAGGTGTGATGAAACATAAACAGTCCGTCATAGACCTGTGACCCAGTGTGATGAGCCTCAGCCATCACACTGTTTTGTGTTGGTTACAGAAGGTCAGATCAGGCAGTCCAGTGACAAAAAACACGGTGAAAGACTTCATGTATATCAAAATGATATCCCCTTAAACATAGCTACATTTCCTACTATTGACCTTAAAATAGTACTCTACAGTTTGCACTCCTCTAACACTGTCAGACGGACAGGTTTGTTTTTTTTGGCAAAAAAAGGTTCAAAATCAATGAACCAAAGATATTGGGTGTTTCCAAAGATAGTGGTTGTTTTATTATAACATGCACAGATTTAAATCCTGTGGGCCTATTAAAAAAATCTATAAAATCAAGAAGGACTTTTAAAATGATTAGACTCTATAAGCGTACAAAACATACTAATATGCTTTCCTCAAAGCCACCACACTCCATTTAAAAACACAACAATTTTACCTTTTGCCGCTTGTGAAACGCGACAGAAACAAAATGGTTTGCTCGTTCCACTGTACGATCACCATCATCAACTCTGGTTTTATTGAAATAAACCCTAAAATGATCACATTAAATGTGAAAAGAAACAGCCATGCTACCAGTCTCCACTGAAAAACACAGTAGTTTTACTTCAATGATAAAACATGCTTCATTCAAACTCCACACAAACAGAATAATGAAACAGAATACGTAAGTCAGAACAAACTTTTAATTTAGGCTTTGTAGATCTAATATGAGGGAAGATTCAGCAACTGCATTTACAAATTCCCGCCTCAAATTGGTTCAGAAGCAGATTTTGGCACACTATTCAGGTTTGCTTAAACTAGCACGATATATCGTGTTAATTAGTCAGTTTTAGAGATATATTTTTCAAATTGGACAGAGCCAAGCTAGTTGTTTGCCCTACTTCCAGTCTTTATGCTAAGCTAGGCTAACCACCTGCTTTCTCAAAGTCAATATAGCGCACAGTGGTATCAATCTACTCAGCTAACTTTGGAAAGAAAGCAAATAGTATTTTATTATAATTCCCAAATTGTCAAACATTTCCTTTAAAGGCTGTGTTGGGTACAATGCTTAGGGCTCAGGGTTGACACTCGAACAGGGCAAATCTTTAAAGACGACCTCGTGCTCCACCAGTAGGTGAAAACAATCATAAACGTTTCAACAATCCCCTTCTATCAAATGAAAGGCTCTTTCTGTCTTCCCAGAAAGCCCATCCCATAATCCCACACTGTCTCATCCCAATGTCCTCTTTCAACCGGAAATGCAACACATGAAGGAGGTAAAGATGCATTTGCGTTTGGCCTTCAGTGCAACAAATGGTGCAAAACCCGACCTCAGCCCCCACCGTTCAGTCTGTGTCAGACATATCTTTGCTGGCAGTCAGTCAAATATAGTAAATCTCCCTCTAATCCTGTTGTTCCGGTCTGCTCTGTTCAGCTTTAAAAAAACTTACCTAAAAGAGAGACAAAGGGGACGAATTTGTCTCCATTCATGACATTATCAGTCCTTCCCTTCAGCTTTCAGTGATCCCTGGTTGAATAACTTTGGGATTCCTAATCTTCTGTTTGGATATAGTATTTTTACGTTTGGGGTATTCCAGCTGGGTCGGGTTAGATGGTGGCCTAATACCGGTTTGGTCTCTCAGTGGAGGGAGTGGTTCGAGATGTGCTAATGTTAGCTTGACACAGGGTTCAAGGTGCGGGGGCGGGTAGCCTCTACCAAGATGTAACTCCCGGTAGTTCCAAAGTTGTCTTATTCACACGTTCTTAGCTGCCTTTCTGACATTAACCATGGAGTATTGTTGAGTGTAAGGATGTGTAAACCGTGCAACTGAGTTCAGGACTTCTGGAGAGCTGTGTGCCATCACTCCGGCTAACGTTGAGCTGCTGGATGATGAAGTAAATATCTCCAAATTGTAATCCTGGTTGTTAAACCAAAATGTCTGGCTATCTCTTTCTACACATGTTAAATACAGCAGAAATGGGTGTGGAGGATTCGGAGTTGGAGGCTAGAGTGTGGATACCCGACCCGAGCCCGTCGGGAAGGGCTTCGAATAAATATTTACAGATGACGTTCAGGTTTGGCCTACTTGACATGGCGCTTTGATATTCTTTAAAATAAAAACGTATCAAACCACATGGCAAGGGACTGTACAAAAATATAGGAAGGGGTGAGTATTTTTTTAATTGATTAATTATTAATGTTATTATTATTTAAAGACTTTTTATTGAATGTTCATTCAATAAAAAGTCAATAAAGACTTTTTATTGAATGTTCATTCACTTTAAATGAATGTCTAAAGTGCACAACACCATCGTCACCATCTTAATTCTTTATGTATTGACTCTGAGTCATATTATTTGGAGATACTAGGAAGAGGTCAAATATTAAAATTTCTGGAACATTAGGTTCGGCCCCCGTCCCCACAATCCTATGAGATTATTAGAAGCCTCTAGTTGCTTTCTGTGCTGTTTGAATATCATCTAATAAGCCATAAAAGACACTTTCATTTACATGTTTTCTGACTTCAGCGGCTCCAAGTGATGTCATCAAAGGAGACTGAAATCAAAGCATAGCATCAATGTTCTCTTGAATTTACCGATTTTCTCAATAAACAGAAAAACATTAAAAGAATATTCATCACACAGGGGAGGGGCTTTAAAGGTGTGGACATTATACTTTTAAGTGAAAACATGAGCAAAAACTCAAACCAGTGTCCTTCAAGCCCTCCAGACTTCTACTCTGTTGCCTGTTTAAATAGCAAAGGAAAAGGGGAACTTGTCTGTTCAAGTAATTGTCAGTTTGTGGCAGCCATCTTGCCTCATTGTCACTAGAGGAACCTGGGAGTTCACCCTCCGGTCTCACAGGGTCTCCATATTGTTAGGTATTAGTTTGATTCTGTGACTCAGTGTCCCAGTTCTTCCCCCTGTTCTTCTTCCTGTTCCTCTCCGCCATCACCAGGGCCGCCACCACAGTGACCAGCACGGTGCCGGTGATGACGAGCACGGTGGCGGTCTCCGCCACGCAGAGCCGGCTGTCCACCCAGGCTAGCGAGGCCCCGGCCAGCTGCAGCGGATCCTGGCACGTCACGTTGCGGTAGTCGTCGATGTGGAGGTGGCGAACGTGCAAGATCTTGCTGAAGACGCGGTGCAGATCGCAGTCGCAGCTCCACGGGTTGCCTGGTGGTGCAATAACAGAGGTTACGACAGTTGGCTCCGAGTCCGCTGACCCATAGGAGATGTTGACCAGACACAACAAAAAGGTCAAATGTTTAAAAAAAAAGTTTATATTTCATAAGTCCAAGTGAAAGAGAAGTTGGAGCTTCTGTGGTGGAATGTATTCCTCAGTGAAACTGAATACTTGTGTACAGTTGCAAGAGGGATTTAATTCAAATCCACACACACATATATAATCCACACACATACACATATATACACTTTTTTCCTTTTTTTTACAGGAAGAAAAGATGATTAGATTTTGATATTAAAATAATAATGAAAAAAGGTTGTTTGCCTATATTGTTGGATCGGGGCACAATGTGACTGGGAATGTGATTTCAAAGGGTTAAAAGGGCATTTTTCATTTCATCTGCACGTAGACTGTTTTCTGTACTTTTAGTTTTGCTGCATGTTTGTGTAAAACATTTATATTGATCAAATCCTACGTACACACTGGGAGTTTATTTTGTCTTTTTATTTATCGCATGATATTTTTGATATTTCAGTACATTTAGCTGTTTGTTTGCTTTCATTCGGAGGCACAATGTGAATCAAAATGACATGGAAGATGTTGTAGTAAATACATGAACATACAGGGTCTATTTTTCATGTTATTATAAAATAGTCTTTCATTATTACCAGAACTGTTTATTATCATAACAAAATTAGATCTTGCTATATCAAAAAATCATTCCCGTTATTGCACAGAATCAACGTATCAAATACTTACTTATTTCATACACTGAAATATAAATACCCGATATAACTATATAGAGAGATACAATATGTGGATTAGGAATGGTGGTCAGGTCTTCACTGGCAGACAGAAGCTGGGCTTATATACTGATGGGAGCTAAATGTCATGAACTTGATGTGCATAAAGTGCACTAACATACTTCAAGCCATCTGGCCTTGTGGGAGTTGCTGGCGGGAGGTTTAGGAGAGGCTCATTCTTGTCAGATAATACCTGCCATCTGGTAGCCAACATTGCACGTACCATGAAAACTACACTTAAGCAGCCTGCGGCCATAGAAACATCCTGCCACACAGACATAAACGTCTAGTAACAACAAGTTATCGTGTTATACAGAGACGTGGTTCTTGTTTTAATGAGAAACCGTCAAGTTTCGCGACATCACGAAATAAAGTGACTTGTTGAGAACGAGAAAAGAAAAGTTTCTTTTTAAACGGAACGATTTGGGGAATTTAGTAACGACAATAAATATGTCATAACCGGAAATGTGCACCTAGTAGATCGTAGCCAGGTGTGTCTGCAACAACCCCTGCTGTAATATTTGATCGAACAAATACAACCCGCAATTGGCTGACCCTCCGTCTATGCTGCGAGCGTATCAGACAGATGTGCCCTCATTGTAATGACATGAAAAGCAACCTTTTTCCATTAAAATGAGAAACTGAGCACATTGCTTTTTCATGGTGGCAGCAACACACTGTTTTTAATCTTATATTTCACTACTATATCATCTTCCTATGCAATAGAGTGAATAATGCACATTTTCATTGTGCGCAATAGTGGTGTCTCTTCACTTGGTCAACAATAAAAAAGTATAGATACTGGAAACCTGACAGCTGGATGTGTGTAGCCGTTGTATGAAGGCAGATGAAGGTCTTAAACTTGAGGTGATTCAGGTTGTTTCCATCCAGAGCGAGGACGGCCAGGCTGTAGAGAGGGGCCAGAGCATTGTTGTCGATATGCGAGATGTTGTTGTTGCTCAACTGGAGCACCTAGACGGACAGACGGGTAATCAGACAGACAGGCATATGGTATACACACACACAGAGTCATTTCAAGTCTCATTTATTGCACCTCTAGTCCAGGCAGCATATCCAGGCTCCCCTGCTGCACCACAGTCAGTCTGTTGTTGTGCAGGTAGAGCTGCCTGAGCCTGGAGAGGCCCCTGAACACGCCGAAGCCAACCTCCACCAGCTGGTTACTGCTGAGGTCCAGCTTCTCCATGTTGTCCAGATGCTCGAAGCTGACGGACGGGAAGGAGAGACAATTACAGGGTCAACCCACATGCGCTGAATACACTGCGGTATGTATCTGTGGCTTGATGCAGAGAGGTTTGTTTGGCTTCTTGGCCCTGATACAACTATGGTAAAGTGGTGGAATGAGGGGGTGGACAAGAAGAGGTGATATGGCCAACTAGTTAGCAAACGGTGTCTTATTTAGTCGTGTGTTTCTGTCCACCTGATGAATGTCTCTTTTAGCTCTGTTTTTGGTCCCTACCAAGTCCTGAGAACAGTATCTGGCCCTTTAGCTGCTAGATGTTTTACTTTCTTTGCTGGCTAATCGCTATCTTTGTCTGTCGGTCATTTGGTGCTGGGCAGGTAGTGTACGGGGGGGGATTTAGTGCTTTATTCGTCGAAGACAAACTGTGCTGTGGGAGCCCCCGAGAAAATGAAGATGCAGATCTGAAAAACAAAGCAATGATCTGGAAGACGCTATTGCGGCTGCATAAAGCTGAAGGGAACCAGAGAGTATAGAAGCAGAGAGACGAAACGCTCATGCTTTTTTGACAGATGGCACTGCTGTAGCGAATGCCGCCATCTTGGGCTGAATACACCAATGACTGTGGACTATGGCTGTGGACGTATAAAGAGACGTCTGTAAATCAGCAGCTTTTCTTTTTGGAGGTGAATGGACATCCCAGTACAAACTCAAAAATAGCCCTCATTGAAACAGATCGATTTCATTTCAACGAGTCACTTGACTAACGACTCACGTTAATTGCAAGCCTAGTCCGTCCCCCCTGCAAATCCAGTTCCAGTTCCTCTGAGGAGGCTAATAGGAATATGGAGTATGATAATGATAGAAAGATGGACTTCCGTTGTACTTTGATGGACGGACTTGGTACCTGTTTCCAGATAAATGGTGTAAGTTGTTGTGCTCCAGTAGCAGCACTCTGAGAGCAGATAGACTGGTCGAGAAGTCGACAGGTAGAGCTGTTAACTGGTTCCAACTGAGATCCAGCTTCTCCAGGAAGGACAAAGAGAAAAATGCCTGTGGAGAGAAAGAAATACAGACAGAGAGAAGCATGCATTTAACTATTGCGATTATTTCCATCTTCCCTGTCCCCCTCCCTTGACTGTGACCCAGATGGACCTGAAGGTCTTCTTTTTAACGATTCTCCCTTTCTATTATTATTAATCATTTATTTTAACTTTCTCCTCCTCCACCATTGTCAGTCTTTTCCTCCATCTGGTCCCCTTTACTGTTCATTGGCCTACATGTTAATTTGTATATATAGAGTGGGGAAGTGAGCTCCGCATGTGGAGAGGCATTCTAATGCCAGGTGTGAACTCACGTTATAGCTGTCCACCTGTGAATGGATCACCTGAGATGCATCCGTCAATGCAGGTGTGAACAGGGCCACTGGCACTTCAACAGGATTCTCCTCTTCAACTAAAAGTTACTACATCCCTCTCTTAGACCTCTACTGAGATATCAACTGCTGTCAATGCCTGCATGTAAACTCAATAATTCAACTGTTTTTAGTGCTCAACACTTCCACTTCCACCGACATTTCCAGTGCATTCATGAACTGACATTTTAACTTCTTACAGCATTTACGCATCAACTAACATTTCCATTTCATGTCTTACTCTTCAGATGGCAGTTCAGCTGCTTTCAGCAATTGCGCTCAGCACTGATAAATCAACCTTTTGTTTATAAGTCAACTAACATGTCAAATGCTTTTATCTCTTACTCTTTGGATGCCACTTTGGCTGCTTTTCATTTTTTGCATTTAAATGAGAGTTCAACTGCTTTCAGTGCTCAGCTGTTCCACTTCATGGCATTTACAATGCTTTTAACTCAGCTGCTTTCATACTTCAACTGATGAGTCAAAGGCTGTCAATGTCCGTAAGTCAACTAACATTTCAACTGTTTTTATCTCTTTCAGACGACAGTTCAGCTGCTTTTCATTTTGTGTTTCCTTTCAGCACTTAAATTGACACATTAACTCCTTAATTGATTCAACTTCTACTGCGACTTTCATAAATGTACCCTTAACATTCTTTCAAAACTTTCAAAATGTTTCCAGTGCTATTTATCAGGAATTGTCCCAAAAAGAAATCGACCTTTTAAAGTTCATCCGTCCCTTGGTTCCCACCTGTGGTTGCATTTCTTGGATCTGGCTGTTGGTCAGCACCAGCACCCGCAGGGACCACAGCCCGGTGAAGGCTCGGGTGCCAATCTCGCTCAGATTGTTTCCTCTCAGCTCCAGCAGCCAGGTGCTGTGCGGGAGGCCCCTGGGGACGTGTTCGAACCCGCGGTCGCGGCAGTCTACCAGGTCGGCATGCTCGTAACAAATGCAGTGTTGCGGACACGACCACGAGCAATCGACGGATGGAAAAAGGGACGGTGGGGAAAAAAAGGCAAGAAGGAAGATGAGAGGGGCCAGGAACAGGAGACACATGTTTCACCGCAAAGCAAGAGGATGTGAGGAGGGCAGCCTGGTAGTTAAAGTGTGGAACGTTGAATGAAGCTCGGTAGTTTGATGTCCTCTTTGCCAATCCTCTTAGTCAGCCTGGAAATAAGAAAGCAAGCAAAGCACAGACCTTTGACCTCAGAGCTGGTGACCTGGTGACAATCCCCATATCCTTCTGGAAGGGTGATCTTGATTTTTTATTTCAATATGATTTCAGAATACTTTAAACCTAAAACCAAACCACCAAAAATGCTCAATATCTTGAAACAATAGAATGGCCCAATAAGAGCGCACTCACTTCCTACAATCAAAACCATCATTTTCATCACTCCATAACTGACTTGAATCTTTCTCATAATTGCTACGGTCCTTTTAGCAGAGGATTTGTCATCCCTCCCTCCCTTCCCCATGCAAATGTAATTACATAATCACAGCCATTAAGAGCAGAGCAGCAAGGATTAAATCCGGCCAGTCTGTCTGACATTCACACACCGACATGTCATAAAAGCAATACTGTTATTCTGAATTTATTTCTTCTTCAGCTACAGAATGAGCAGCTTGTTTTTCCCTCAGAACTTCTTCCCTATCAATGCAAATAAAAAACATCTTTGTACTGTACAGTATTTGGAAGAAACATTACATGATTTTTTTTTTCATGGTTGATAATACATTTTTTACACTCATAAAAGCGTATTTTTTTTAAAAGCTGTCAACAAGTAACCCCACACAAAAACAAAGACTAAAGTCGACATCCAAAGGACACCGATGTCATCTTCGAGGTCTGGGCCTCCCTCTTCCCAACTCACCTCCTCTGCTGATGGAGAGCCCAGACGTCCCCGTGCTGCCTCGTCGACTTTGTACACGTCCTCTCACCTCACTGGAGGGCAGCTCGGTAAAGACGAGCCCGGGGAGATGACGGGAAGGTAGAGAAACTAAGACAGAGTGATGATGCTCGGCGGAGATACTCGGGGCGTGCAGCTGTGTCAGTAATCCTCTAAGCCCGTCCAATCACCAAATGTCTCCTCTCGTCCACTAAACTCTGGCAGCTTTTCTGATGTTTTCATCGCCTCTCTGTCTCTGCACCCCCCCCTCTCGTTTCCTGCTAATACCACTAGGGAGCCTTCAGCATCCCTCCATCCATCTGTTCCACTGACTTTATTCTTATATAAAGGCTGTTAACCTCTTATGAAGAGTTTGCGTGTTAATGTTTCAGAGGGTGAGGCAGACAGGCAGGGAGCCAGGTGGATGACCCAACAGGAAAACAAAACCGCAGCTGATTTGCCCACAAAACGTCCCATGTGAGCGTCGATGCTGGTTCTCAGGTTGGGTTTACAACCAGGCGCAGCGGACGCTTGCCCAGGTGTGCCAGAATGTACATTTATGGAAATAGTTTGTTTGGGGAATGTTGTTCACAAAAGCTACTGACATAGTGGCCTGAAGGTGGGTCCTGGTCCACAACCTTCAAGTTCCTGTTTCAATCATCTATCTTGCCTTGAATATAATACTGGAAATGTGCAAATTGGGATAGTGAGATAAAAGGAAGACGCTTACATTAAATACAAAATAAAGTATGAATGGTAAGAAGTAGTGGAAGAGAAAAATAACCAGTATGATCATGAGTAGATTCAGATTTGCTCACAGCTATTTGAACAGTACACTTACATGAACATCATAAACATCCCACTGGTCATTGTAATCAGTGTCAAGAAAAGGAGACAGTAGAGCACGTCCTGTTTTCAAACAGGAAGTATGAAGTGGAAAGAAGGGCTGTGATGGCAGGACTACGGGGGCGAGGACGAGGACAGGCCAAGATGAAAGAAAACAGATATTTTTAAAAGCATAAAACGAGGCTGTACCAGAATAGGACGACAGTGGACGATTAACTCCACTAGGGGGCAGTAATGCATCTTAAAGGATGCCATATATATAAAAAAAAACAGAAGAAGTAGTGGTTGTTGTGGGTAGTGCCAGTGCACTATGCAGCGTCGAGTGGTCATTCAATAACAGAAGAAAAAATGTCAAATTACCAGTCCCTCTGCGGGAGCTTTAGCTAGTGTTCGGAGCAACAAGCGGTGTTTTCAAACCACCGCGTGATGTTCACGAAGCCGGAAACAGCAGCGACGCAGTGCTAACTTCCAGCTAACGTTAGCGCAGGAAGGTAAGTTAACGTTACGTTGTCGACGTTTAAACACATGGCTGCATAAAGTTACCGCTACAACCCTGTCTGTGCTTGTTATTAATACATTTTACTGATACTAAAAGTTTCTTTGTGGCTAGAGGTGCACTGTGTCCAGATCTGTACTTGTGTTAACTAACGTTAGGTCAAACAACTTCCGTTAACTTCTCTCTACTGTCCAGCTAGCTAAAAATATATTGAGGTGCTTTATATGAACATTCAGGGGAAACGTTATTTCACTGACTTTACTCCAAGAAATTCATTTTTGGAATTGCCCATAACGTTTTAATAAAGGTTACATTTTAAAAAAACAAACAAAAAAAACTCTAAAGGTGTCATATTTGAAGTCACCTGCTTTGATGAAAGCTGACATGTTGGTTAACGCTCGAGTGAACTTTGACCCTTATTCAGTACCTAACGTTGTGTGTCAAACAGGATGTTGGAATGATCATAACGTTGCATGAATGATCATTAGAGTTCTTCCCAACAAATATTGTAGTTTGTAACAAATTTGAAAAGAAAAGTGTAATAAACAAATTGAGAGACAAACGACCTGTTTCTGTCTGTGATCATTGCACCCTGGTGTGTTGGACTTTACACAATAGTTTACAGAACATTTAAAAACACTCATACTTAGAATGGAAAATCGTTGCTGTGTAAGCTGAGTGTTTATTCTAATAATTTCTAATAATTTTGTCACAAAAATATGCGATGTAAACAGACTTTGTGTCTTAATGTGACATGTCACCGTGCCAAGCATCCACTTTGTCTGAACAATAAAGGGATCCTTCTAAAATCCAGGTAGTTGTTTGCTAAAAATGTAACGCTTTTGAACAAATATTCCATCTGTTGCACGACACCAACGTTTTTCTTCTAAAAGGTGCAATTCTGTTTCCTAACCCAAGCAAAGCTCTGTGACTTGAATATAATGTTGATGCATGGATGCCCTTCCTCCGTAGTATTTAACGGTCCTTGCGTTGTGGTCCTGCAGCAGCCATGGCCGAGGCCGGAGCCCATCTGACCTCCACGGCCGCCGCCGAGCAGCCGTCCATCTTCGAGGTCCTGGCTCAGGAGTCTCTGATGGAGGCGGTCCGACCGGCACTGAGACACGCCGTCAAGGTGAGCGAGCGCCTTCAACCTCTGCCAACCGTCTCTTACTTTTTCTATTTATTCATTATTATTTGTTCTGTGTCAGACATTTGGAATGCATTTGTGCGGTATTGTGTAAGAACTTTCTGGTAAATGTGAGAATCCGGATTTCTGCCACTTCAGATCACTATTTTTGGGAACTTCCACAACTTTTGTTGCTTCTGAAAAGCTTTTTCTTTTGCTGCATTGTACTCAATTTTATTAGTTAATAAATACATAATTATTTTAATTAATGAATCATTATTTTTAATTAATTAAATATATATATATATATATATATATATATTTAAATGAGCCGGCCTATTGATAGAATGAGCCAGAAATTGTGTTCTTCCATTAAATTGCTCTAACCAGCCCCGTGTTGGCGACCCTCTCAGGTTCTGGCAGAGTCCAACCCGTCCCGTTTCGGCTTCCTGTGGCGCAGCTTCGATGAGCTCTACCTGCTGCTGGATGTCCTCCTCCAGAACCACTTCCTGTCCCACTGCAGCGCCTCCTTCTCCGAGAACTTCTACGGCCTGAAGAGGGTGTCGGGGTGGCGAGGGCTTCCCGTCCGCGGGAGCCTGCGCTGGCGCTCCCTCCTCCTGCTGTGCCTGGCGCCGTACCTGCGGGCCAAGCTGGAGGCGACGCTGGCGCGGCAGAGGGACGAGGAGGACTTCTCCATCCGGCTGGCGCAGACCAGGAGCCAGAGGCTGTACCGGGCGGCCGTGGCGGCGTACCCGTACGTCGGCTCCGCCTGGCAGGCCTGGGTCTTCTGCCAGCAGCTGCTCTTCGTCTTCGGAGTCGCCGGGACCCATAATCCCTTGCTGTGGCTGGCCAGGGTCAGACTGGCACGACTTAACGCTCAGGATGTCAGGGACATGGAGCTGAGGAGCAACAAAACTGGCAACCCAGCTGATGGGAGGTACGTGTCAGCTTAATGTTCAGTCAGTGTTAACCAATCTGTGCACTCCTCCACGTGGAGGACAATCTATTTTTCACCTTCTTTGAGGCTCACTCGCAGCTGTAAATATTTATTTGTAATGGTTTCGACGGACTACTGACACTTGATAACTTCTTGTTAGGTTTTGTCGGCTGATGTCCAACAGCAGGACTAGAAGCTCTGTGGTGTGAAGTATTGACTCTTTGCTAACATTTTTGGGAACGAAACATGTCCACAGATGGAGCAGAACAGGCTGCCTTGTATTGTTAGCGGGGCTTTGATCATAGTAATGAACAAATGTGAAGAACGTGCACCTAGGGATGGGTATTGTTCGGATTTTATTGATATTGGTACTCTTATCTGTTCTTATTGATTATTTTGTGAGAAAAGAGGATTCATTAAGAAAAGAATCGACACTGCTTTATTATTCTTGTAGGTAAACAAATAGTCTTTCTTGAGCAGCAACACAAGAAGTTCCAAAATCGTTTAAAGACATTCGCAGCTTAACAATTCATTTATTAGTCTATTATTATGATCAAACTCCGTATGACATCACTAACGTTACTTGCAGTGGACGAGGATGGACGGCTGCTCCACAAACAGTAGAAAACTGAGCATTTCTGCAGATTAATGTTCTGTGTTTTCGCCACATGTTGTGATAAACTGCTGGTGTTACCTCCGTTACTTGTGAAGGTTTTATTGCATTTGATACAACGAGAGTTCTCAGCCTCTACTGGAGTAAATGTAGCCACACTCTGGATCTTTTTCTTCTCTCTGCCATGATGCGAGTCTCACGCTGTACTGTGTGTGTGTGTGTGTGTGTGTGTGTGTGTGTGTGTCAGAGTAAAGCACAAAGAGACAGAGAGAGGAGGTTTGAGATGAAGAGGTCTCACTCAGTAGCTTCTACAGTACTGATAGCAGAACCGTTAACTCCAGACCTTATCGATACTCTGGGCTTTACTTATTTAGAACCGGGTTTCGAGGGTGCCTCCCTACTTGCCTCAGGTCGGTGCAGTAGTTCGGTCACAGAAGAAAGTAAGAGAAGTTAAAGTCAGAAAAATGTTTAACAAGTGTTCTTGCATGAGTCCCAATCTCAGACAAAGCTCTTGAATTCACCACCCACAATGCATTGTTCTTCCGTTTGCAGCCTGGCGCAGAGAGCATGGTGGTGGATGTCGCAGGTGGCGCGCGGCGCGGCCGTGTCCCTCTCCAGCTCCCTCTCGCTGGGCGTCTTCTTCCTGCAGTTCCTGGAGTGGTGGTACTCCTCGGACAACCAGAGCACCGTGAAGAGCCTCACCTCCCTGCCCGCTCCCCCGCCCCCACTCCACCTGCAGCGGGAGCAGAGCGGGCGGGACTCCCCGGCCGACCGCGGCGAGGAAGCTCCACCCGGCGCCGACAGCAGGGACTGTCCGCTGTGCCGCGGGCTTCGCTCCAACGCCACGGTGCTGTCCACCTCCGGCTTCGTCTTCTGCTACCGCTGCGTCTACACGTACGTGAAAGCCAACCGCCGCTGCCCGGTCACCGGCTACCCCACCGAGCCGCAACACCTCATCAAGATCTACTCCCCGGAGAGTTAGTACACGTCTACTCATCACGCTTTCAGGTTTACTCTCCGAAATACAAACTCTTCCAGAGACAAAGGAAATGGCCTTTTTTTCCTTTTCTTTTTTAAAATAACTTATTCAATAATTAGTTTCCCTCTGTTGAGATACTTTGCTTTTCTTTTGTATAAAATGGGCTCTGCGATGTACATACTGTTAATAAATATTTCACTGATACCAGCTGATTTATATGCGATGCTGCAATTCTCTCTTATAAATAAAAAGTTCTGAAATTGTTTCCACAGTGGTATTAAGGTGATTTCATTATTTTTATTAGTTTTAAATTTGTAATAAATGTACAATTGTATTTGTTCAGCTTCCCAAACTACTCCGTGTACGGTGAGTTAATGGTAAGGAAATGTTAGCGGCTAAGCTAGCCATTAGCAAGTTGGTGATTGGATGGCTGAAGTTTGTACATTCAGGTTTTTTTTTTTTAAAGGCTGATTACAAAATTTAATATTTAGTTTCAAGAGGAGAAGAGGAGACACAATCAGAATGTATGAAACAAACAGGTTATTAAATGACAGGCTTCATCACAAGCATTTCAGTTAGAATTCATTTTGTGGGGCTTTTATTTTAAAATGGGGTGTGTGTGGCGGGGAGTCCTCTTAAAATCTCTAAGACCTGAATGACTGTAAGAGAGAGAGTGTCATGGTGTATGTAAATGTCACTCGAATCAGGAAACTTATCAGAATACCCATATTTGATTGGCTGAGCTGCATCATGTATATCTCTAAATCATATGACTTATTTATCATTTGAGACGCAAGCTCTTAGCTATGAATTACTGGGCCAATCTGCAAGGACATTCTGGAGATAATCATCCAACTACAAAGGTGCTTCTGCCATGCTGGGAAAGAGAAAGGGCCAAACAGGAATGTTTTGCATGGAGCAATGGAAAATTAGCAAGATATATGTCATTGGATCAGATAACATTCACTCCTACAGTACCGTTATCAACACCACCGTGGCTATTTCCCTCAGTGTTAGTTAATAATTATTTTTTGGACAAAACCCAGGCATTTAAAGATATTGATAACATGGCTGGAGTGGTGGAGGATAGACTACAGACAACATATCAATCATTTACTCCAGCATACATAGATGGGTCTAAAGATCCTAATACAGGTAGAACTGGTTTTGCAGTCACCATACCAACCTTGCAATATGAAGTTAAAAGGAGAACATCAGATCATCTGTCTGCTTATACAGTTGAGACGTTGGCAATTATAACAGCACTGCAGTGGGTAGAGGAGGTTCGGCTCGAAAAGGTCGTCTGTTCAGATTGCAGTTCAGCATTATCCTCATTACAATCATTCACATCTCATAGCAGGCAGGATTTAATTAATGAAATGTACGAAACACTGTTCTGACTTAAGAATATGGGTATTTTTGTATCATTTCTGTGGGTACCAGCACACAGAGGGGTAAAAGGAAACGAAAGAGCAGATACATTAGCAAAACAAGCTTTAGGAAGTCAGCACAAGACAGACATTTTACTCAGCAAAGCAGCAGCTAAATCAATAATCAAAATAAATATTATTAAGGAATGGCAGCACAGTTGGGATGTAGGAGACACAGGAAGACATCTTTATGCTGTTCAGAAAGAAGTTGGCAAAGGGAGGCCATCTAGAAGAAGCACCACAGAAGAAAACATATTAACCAGACTGAGGATTGGACACACAAGGCTGAACGAAACAATGCAACTAAAAAATAAACACCCAACAGGACTATGTGAGCACTGCCAGATATCAGAATCTGTAGACCATATCATATGTCATTGCCAGAAATTCTCACTTGAGCGAGACAGGTTGAAGAGGAGGCTGGGAGTGGAGGAACTCAATCTAAAAGATGCATTAACCTTGGGGGCAGGAAACATACTACAATATGTGAAAGAAACAGGATTGAGCAAAATAATTTAAGTCTCTGAAATGGAGAACTCCTTTTTTTGGTTTTGTTTTATTTTGTTTTTTGTTTTATATTATTTAGTTTAGTTTTTTTGTTGTTTGTTTTAGGTTTTGTAAAGGGATATGTTATCGGATCCACACTCCAATATAGTAGGTGGCGGTAATGCACCTTTCACTGGATGCCATCCGCCAAAAAACAAAAAAGAAGAAGAAGAAGACTTATTTATCACTGGCCCCTGCTGGGCCAATCAGGGCACGTGAAGCCACGTCTCGCGATAGTTCACGGGAGCTGAATTCAAACCTAAAGCGGTTTGACCTGATCAGTGGAAAGGTAACGTTGGGCAGCTAACGTTAAATGCATTCATTTGTTATACTTATAGCCATTGTCTTTACCAATTTAACAAGTGATCTCCAGAGTTACTTGGTCGCCCTTCTCAAGGGACTTCCTCATGTGAACAGTGTTCTGTCTGATGAAAAACGAGCCGGGGTTAGTTCAAGCGCCATTGTTGTTGATAAAATGGTTAACGTTAGCTAACGCTAATGTTATAGCGTTAACGTTTATTAGTTTTTTGGTCCATATAACTGCCGGTGTCGTTGTGTTACTTAGCTAGTGGTGCTAACGTAGTGCTATCTCGGAGTCAATAACCATTTAGCTAGCTAGCTTATGTGTGTTTTTTTTTCAGCTGCTTATTTTTCAGGGCTGATGCTTTAACACTTGATGGGGCTAACTACTGTATTTAACGTGCAGTTACTAGGACACAGCGTTCGCTACACACAACGTTAACGTTCATTGGATAAACGCTTCAGTATCTGTGCTGCAGACCTGCACGTACACATAGCCACGAAGTTAAAATGACGCTGATCTGATACATTATGTGTAACGTTACGTCACAAAATACTTACGCAGATTTCATAACGTTACCTCAGATAAAAAGGAATATAGTTGCACACTTAAAACCAAAATCACGAGCACCAAAAGTGAATCTGTAACCTGTGGGAGCGTGACGTCACAGGGAGACCCCCCCCCCTCTGGTCTTTGCACCCTCTCCACAAGAACACGACCATCTGATCTATGAAAGATAAAACACAATACAAATACTTTAAATATAAATACTACACTGAGTTGACCAAATGACTAATGAAGCTCAACTCTAAAATAATAAATATGTAATATATCTCACCAAAGTGGTAACTGTTCCCCTCAAATGTGACAAATTCACCAAATCATTCCATTCCCTGTAATGTGTGAGGCCCATGCTGGGTTGCAGAGAGCACTGCACCGGAAGCACAAAGGTTTTATAAGCCTCCCTATCCACTCACCACTCTCCAGATGGCGGCGGAAGAGGAGATGCGGCACCTGAGGAGCCAGCTGCGGGAGAAAGAGGAGCAGGTCCAGCAGGCCGCCCGAGCTGGTCTGGATCTCCTCAACCAGCAGATGGAAATGCAGACCAGACTGGACGAACAGAGGGTGGAGATGACCAACGCTATGGAGGTATGATGCCCGCACCACAGAGGCTCAATTTAGCCAAATCGGACAAAATGACACAACTGACTGTAGTTGCTGCTTTGCAACCACCCTAGAACAGAACTGTCAACAGTCGAACATTCTCTTCTGGTTCTAGTCCTTTGCACTGGTGTGCTCCCTTAGTTTAACACATCAGCACACCAATGCTTGCACTGAATAGCCTTGGAGCGCTGCTTACAGGTCGGTCTGTGGATTCTTCTGAATTGTTTCAAACCTCTACGCCTTTTTTTTTTTTTTTTTTGTCGAAGGCCCTCGAGCAAGAGAAGTACTCCCTTCAGAAGGAAGTGGAGTTAAAGACCCGGATGCAGAACTCTCTGCAGTCGGACCTCGACTGTTTGAAGAACCAGCAGACGCGGCAGCTCGAGGACCAACAGATGCACCTGGAGAGGAGCCACGGCACAGCGCTCAAGGAGCTCAACAAGAAGGTACAACGAGCTGCGGTCTGGTCTGGTCTTCACAGCAGACGTTAGTAAATGTCATAGTACGAAAAGCACAGGTGTTGCTGATAACATTGATGATGGCTCACTGTCTTGCTTTACTGGCACACTTGGTGATAGTAGAGCCATCATTAGTGTTGTATACACCACTGCTCCATCCATAAATCCATAACTATTCCTCTAATGCTGTGTTCACGCCATACGCAGAGCAAGTTTGTGTTACTCGTGCAAGTTTGATCATGGAGGAGGAGGAACTACTACTAAGTACATTTAAGTATTGTACTTAAGTACAATATTGAGGTACTTGTAGCCTACTGTACAAGAGTATTTCCATTTCATGTAATTTGACACTACTAGTCCACTACATCTCGGAGAGAAATATGATATTTCTAACCTCACTACATTCATTTGACAATATTAGTTACTAGTTCGGCTACTTTGCAGATTCGCACTCTTACTAGGAAATACAAATGAGCTAATAAACTATGATTTATTAAGTAGTGTATATAGCCTAATTATTAAGGAAATAAAGTAGTTAAACTTAACCAGCTGCAACATTTAGAATACAGAACGTAAACATGTATTATTTTCGGTGGATTATGATTTTACGATGGGCTAAAACACACTTTGGCGGGCCGCCACAGACGAGGTTAATTAACGGCAAACCTTCTGATCCCCGCGGTGTTGCTCAACATGTTTGTCCTGCGTGTCGTCCCAGATTCTGAGTTTGCAGTCCACCCTGGAGGAATCCCAGCTGAGTGAGCAACACCTGAAAAACAAACTCCAGGTGCAGACCGAGACTCTGAATAACAAGACGGAGGAGCTGCGAGGTTTAAGCGAGCACACCCAGAGCTCCATGACATCTGAGATGCTGGAGGGGCAGATGAAGAACATGGAGCTGGAGAGCATTATGGTGAGCGGGAGCAGAGCTGGAGAAACCAGGCTTATCTGGAGTTAATCTGCCTTTGTACCGTTCTTCAGTGACAATGTAATCCTAATCGCCTACATTCTGCAGCCTTTAACTTCTTGTACTGTAATCTGCTGCTCTTTCCCATCCTGTGTTAATGAGTCCCGTCTACCAGGTGGAGTTGGAGCAGATGCTGAAGGAGTCTCAGTACAAAGGGCAGCAGCTGGAGCGCCGCCTGGAGCAAAGCACTGAGGAGAAAGAGGAGCGGGATAAGGAGGCTGTTTCCTGGTTCAATGCATTACAGGTAAACACACATCAGCTGTGGTCCTTATTGTGCTCGTGTGTACGTTAATATGCTTTAGGCCGTCAGGTCCTATCATCACACACCGCTGAAGGTTGATTCCAACATTGACTGGACTAAAAAACTGCCGACGGTCAATACTTGATGTCTTAAAATGGTGGTAGACCTCGGGACACCCCTGGACTTCAGTCGCTTTAGAGGAAACGAGGACAAGCACAACCTTCTCTACTCTCCCATTGCACTTCAAAGCAGTTTCAAAAGCAAAGTTTCTGCATTTACAACCTGTTTCCTATGCTCTGACAATCATCAGGTCAGACCCAATATTCATTGATTCACTTATCTTTTCCATCAGTGAACATAGAAGCACATATGTAGCAGACCAGGTGTAGTGTGTCTCAGACATTTGTGGTGGATACCTCAACACTACACACTCCGTGAAATGATCTCTCCCTTCATCCGAGTGTAGCGGAATCACTTACTGCGATTGCATGTGAACATGCAGTCTGTGCATCTCTTTGTCTCCCATGTCTGGATGCTCATGCTGTACGTCTTTGCGTCTCTCTGTCTCCGCAGAAATGTCGCGATGCGAACCGAGACCTCCAGATCCAGTTGGACCAGGTTCTGCAGCAGGCCCAAGATCCCAACAGCAAAGGGAACTCTCTGTTCGCAGAGGTAAAAACCAAACTGAGCTGCCAATGATGTAGACAGGCAAGGAAGGCTCTGTGTTTGCTGACGTAGAAAACGAAACGGCTTAAAGCGTCGTAGAGCGGGGTCGTCCTTCAATCAGAGGATTGGTGGTTCGATCCCAGCTCTGCTAGTCCATGTCCTTGTGTCCTTGGGCAACAATCTCACAACAGAAGAACCTCGTTGTTCCTCCGGCCCTGTGACGGTAAACCTCAGATTGATGTAGCTAGCCCGCTAACGTCTTTTTAGTTTTGCTAGAAGTCGCACCGCTAAGCGGCTCAACTGACGACTGCTCTCCAGCTGTTTAAAGGTTCGTCTGTCTCCGAACTCTCATTGCAGCCGTTTCAAAATATTACTCAATCTTAATTAACGACCGAGGAGTCTGAATCCGACTGCAATTAGCCAATGCTAACGTTGCTAGTTTATGCTATGTCAGACGTCACGTTATGTCCAAACTAATGTTATTTATAACTTATTAGAATAATTAACAACATTATAATGTGATCTGTATATGTAGTTAACGGTTATGGACCGGGGCAGCAGAGTCTTTGGTGGATTTGAAGAGAGCGCACATTAGGACCCCATGTAAATCAGTGTGCTAAATGTTGTGTGTTGTTCTGCTGCAGTTGGAGGATAAGCGCAGTCAGATGGAGAGACAGCTCATCAGTATGAAGGTCCAGTATCTGTCGCTGCAGAAACAACACGCCTTCAGCAAACAGCAGCTGCAGCGCATGAAGGTACCGCGTGTTGTGGAGCGCACTCTGACGAATACGCCGGCTATGAACAATGTCCCGTTTTGCTTGTGACATGAATGACGGAGTGGACGTCTTGTGCAGGTCCAGATAGCCACTCTGATGCAGCTCCAGGGTTCCAGGGCTGATCCCGCTCAGCTGGAGAGACTCCAGTCCATGCTCTCTGAGAAGAATGGAGAGATCCAATACCTCATCACTAAACTGCAGAGACTTGAGAAGGTAGAGGTGAGCTCCTAAAACAATGTACAGATGCTGTGCAGAACTTCTGGAGATATTTAAGCTTCAACAACAAAGTATTTCTAAAAGTCTCGTAATGATAACCCAGATTCTGTTTCAATATAATCTATTATCTGAAAGCTGGATTATTATTGTGTGTGTGTGTGCGTGCGTGTGTGTGCGTGCGTGCGTGCGTGCGTGCGTGTGTGTGTGTGTGTGTGCGTGTGTGTGTGTGTGTGTGTGTGTGTGTGTGTGTGTGCGTGTGCGTGTGCGTAGATGATGTTGAAGTCTCAGCCAGCCAATCCGGCTCCAGCAGAAGGTGGTGACAGCCGAGATGAAACTTACTACACTGACCTGCTCAAAATGAAGCTCAACAACTCTGTGTGAGTTCAAGTCTGCGTGCCTCAAGTCATTCGGGTTGAACTGCAGCTCACTTTATCAAACAGTTTGGTTTATTACATCGATGACTCAGCAGTCACATTTAAAGCTACCAAAACTCTTCAACGCTTAAAGACCACTGTAGTCTGGTAAACTTGTATTTTTCATAAATTGCCACAAAGAAGAGGACGGCAGAGACGACACACAGAATGGTGTACACTAGGCTTGGGTGGTATTTTCTTTTTTCTATACCTTCCCGACATTTCACCTGGGTATACTCTACAGTTCAGTATTTGTGTAAAGAAAAACACCTACATGTCCTTTAGAATTCATTTGAAACATTGAGGAAGTTATTATTACACATGTGAGAAACTTCATCCCTATCTTTCTCTAATGTCATTCTGATATCATCCCGCAATTCCAACATTTTGGATCAAACGTTCCAGCGTGACTGTCGCTGTAAAACAAACCGACTCACGGGATCCAATTTACTCGCACAGCGCGAAACAATGTGGCCTTTGATGTAGTTTACTGTCTTGAATTACATCGTACAGCTGGGGACTCGGCTGTCTAGATGCTAGCGTATCATACATTGTGCCAATCCCCACACAGTTCTCCCATCTCAGATTAAAGTCAGTGTCCATGATTTTGAACACTTCATCTGCAGTGGCTCTGTTATTGACACGTTAATGAAGGCCAAAGAATTATGATAACATTGTTTTATCTTAGTTTCAATGTATTTCAGAGCTTTTCTTTATAACCAGCCGAAACAAAGCTAGTATGCTGATATTTCTAGCTATCTAATGTTACGATATTGTTTTACGGCTGATTCCCAAGTCCAGCAGCAAAGTTACAGCATTTGTATTTTTGACACTATTGAAATCCTACCATCGGGATTTCTAAATCTCTTTTTTAAAACATAATACCCCGAGCCTAGAGAAGTGATTTGAAACTGCCTTGATGCAAAACTATACGGTGGCACTGGATCAAACTTGAATAAGCTGGTTGTCCGCCCCCCCCCCTCCCTGGTTAACCTGAACTCTTCTTCTCTTGTGTGCGTCGTCAGTAAGGATGCAGAGCGTCAGGGAGATGAGCTCTCCCTGCAGAGGATGAAGTCTTTGTCGGAGAGCCAGAGAGCTTTAGCGCTGGAGAGGAAGCTCTTCTCATCGGAGCATCTTCTCAAACAGGTAACGGCTCCGACTGCATACATTCTGAACCCAACGCTCACTGAGCAATGCAACCGGAAGCAACACTTGCCCCACTAGTACCATCCAATAGATATTCATATAACAACATTATGAAGAAAACTAATTTGTTTTTCTAAATAATAAAACAAATACTCTCTAAGTTCCTTAAAATAAAAGTCAGGTACATTTTTTCCCCCCAGAATCATTTTTGTAAGTTATTCTTTTCTCATTTGTAAAAACAGGATAATTGTGTGTTTGTTGTTGTAATACTCATGTCGGCCACAAGAGGCTGAAGTACGCCACTACCCGTGTTCTAAATAGGACTACATGCATTCATGTTTTCTTCCAGGCGAGTTTAATTTACAAAACTTGTGTTTAAAGAGCAATGCAAAATCCTACTTAAACCATAGGCTAGTTGTGCATTTCAGTCTCTTGTTAACACTTTTATCCTTACAAAAATAAAATCGCATGAAAAAACGTCTGTTTTTGCAACAAAAACTTAGATGAGACTTAGAAAATGGATTACCAGAAATGTTTCCTTGTCACTTGACCCTCTAGGCTTCCGTAGTCTAAAGTAGTAAAGTCCAAAGAGAGGGATTTCCAAAAGGAGAGAGAGCAGTGAACTGTGAGCACATGTTTGAGTCATGAGCAGCACAGTGAACATGTTTAGTCCGTTCTGTCTGCTACATACACAAAGACCCATGATATATTACAAAACACAACCACTGAAACATGGTAACTTGGGAAGTGTCAGAAGTAATAATGCCCGTTCAGCACTGCTGCAGCTCTAAGCTGTAGTCGGTGACTATGGTAGCTGTTAACGATGATGAACTAATCGCGACATGCAAACATAACCGTGAGTCACAGAAACACTTTGTATATTTCTGCTCCCTGCTGCAGACTCAGGGTGACAACATAAGACTGCAGCTACGAGTAGAAGAGCTGCAGCACAAGTATGAACCGGAAGGTAATGAGATGAACACCAAACCCACTTCTGCTCATTGGTCACGACCTACGCGACCTCTGGTGTTATGGATGGAACTTTAGAGACCGGTTGCTCGTAATGACATGGACGCGCGTACATTTTGTGTTATTGTACGACTGTGACATTGCTGCCTCCGGCAATGTTTGTGTCTAGATGCCAAAAAGAATGTGATCCAGAAGAAAAGGAGAGAGAAGCTTCCTGTGGACACCTTACCCTCCTCTGATGTCACAAAGACTGCACATCCTGAGGCGGGCTCTCATCGTACGGCTAAGGCAGTGAGCTTCGCACAAGGTGCGTTCACTGGAGTTGGTGCTCCAGGAGGCAAATGTGGATTAGAATTGAGTGCAGTTGCTCTACATAAACGAACACACAGTACACATTGACGTGGGGGTTGTATGAGGTACTTATCCACACTATACACTATATATGTTCTGTGATGTGGTAGCACCGTTAATCACTTTGCCATTTTATGTTTTTGGTTCAGAGCCTGAGGCACCACCTGCCAAGTGTGTGAAGATCGGTGGAGAAGAGCCTGTTGCCATTCCCAGCCCCAGGTCAGTACACCTGCCCGGTGTCGGGTCCTTCAGGGGCCTTTGAAGCGTACAGAACACTTAAATAAGTTCATCATCAGGCTTCAGTGTTGTGCCGCTGATTCCGTTTGTATGTTTCTGTGTCACCGTTGGTCACGTGTGCTCACCTCAGAGACACCAGTGAGGTCCATGGACTTTGACTGCGCGATGACTCTCTCTACTCCCTCCACACACACACACACACACACACACACACACAACACATCATCGTCATACTTGGCATAACACGCAAGCGCTGTTTATTTTATCGACAGATATTTGAAAGAAATATTCATTAACATCTCGATTTCCCAAAATTACAACGCAATGAATTACAGCCAATTAAAGGCTTATGAAATCAAACATGACGTATAAATGCCGCCACTCCACATGTGGCACACAGTTTGAAGTACTTGCCTAAGTCAGTCTTGGGTAGAACAAAGTTTCTCATTTGGCAGCTTCAGCTCCTTCGTCCTTGCTGGGAGGAGCTGAGGCGTGAGGAAGAGTGTGTGTGTCCTTTTCGCATGATGAAGCTGAACAGGGACTGTTGAGAATGATCACAATTTTTATTTTTTGTTTTATTGACTGAAGTTGTGCAATAGAAACACAACGTATACATGCCTACTTGGTGGGGAAATACTGTAGGTCTAGACCAAAAGTAAAAAGACGAATGACAAACGGGTGTTAAAATGAACAGTCGTGTATATGTTCTCTCTATCACTATCTCATGAGTGATGGTTTGTGTGTGATCCTCAGCTCTCCTGTGACTGTATCCAAAGATGAGGAGAGAAGAAAGCAACAAACAGTGGAGGTGATCCATGTCAGCTCCCAGACCACTATGGAGAACCAGTGTGCTCAGCAGTAGTGTGTGTGTGTGTGTGTGTGTGTGTGTGTGTGTGTGTGTGTGTGTGTGTGTGTGTGTACACTGCTTTCATTGAAATATATTTTCTATATTTCCATCCTTCTGCTGATGTCACTGTATTTGCTCTATACTGTCAATATATTTAAATCTTACAGTATTACAAGTTATTTGCATGATACAGTATTCTGTTTTCCAAAACTCATGAACATTAATCTGTTGATCTGTTTAAAGAGTTATCTTGAATACATTCCATGATGTGTAGTTTGGTCTACTTGAAATTGCAATGAAATATATCTCTATCTATCTATCTATCTATATCTATATCTAGCATATTGGGATATATATCCCAATATGCTAGGGATGGGTTAAATGCAGGTTACATTTCATATGTATATAATGACGACTATAATAAATGTCATAATATTTTTAAAATAAAGATGTATCTACATTTCCCTTTCTAAGCTCTGTTTTATTCTACTCTAAGTAAATAATCAATGTGAACAGTTTGATATTCAAGGAAGGATTTGGGAGTTTGATGCGCGTATCTTACCACAGCATCCTACATCAGACACACCGGAAGCCTGCAGTGAGCTCTGCAGACGTCCTGCCCCCTGGCAGCATTGAAGACTGGCCGACCATCTTTACACTCTGCTGTCGGCAGCCACTCGCGCTCCAGAGGAACAAGTCCTGCGGGCCGCCACACAGCAACACCAGCCACCATGCAGGGCTTAAGAGACCGAGTCTTCCCCGCAGTCCAAACGCCCATCGTCAGCATTGATTCAGAGAAGCCAGGGCTACTACCTGGGTGACCTCCGTTGTCTTCCCAGAATGCAGTTCTTTAAAAATGCTGCAGGACACTCCCCCACACAGCTCAACACAGTGAGCATGAATCTGCTAACATGAAAGGGTAACACCCGACTGAAATGTTAGAAGAGTGCAGCTGGTTTCAGACGTCTCACTACCTTGGTGACTTGAAGGTGTCTCGACAGATCACAGCTATGTTTGGTAGAAAAGGCAAAGACTTGTGGACATCTAAGTACCTGGATGTCTTAAAGAATTCAACTTTTTCCACCAGATTTAGCCTGGTGTTAACCTACCAGTGGTGGAGGAAGTATGCTAGTACTAAAGTACAATACTTGAAGTAAATGCACTCAGTTACAGACTATTCCACCACTGAACCGACACACCTGGACTCAAAATCACCAGGACTTACCGGGTAGGTTACATACGGTATAACTGTTGTTTCGTCATTTCAGTGAAACGCTGTAGGAATAAAGTTAAATATGTAACGTGTTGTCGACATCTGCCAATTAATGCCTACCTCAGCGCCTCAGAGCTGTCCAGCTGTCCTCTGTGGAGTTGTTGAAGATACTGCGGTTCCTTTGCACAGACACCTGGCTTTATACACAAGCTGACACCTCAACATTCTGATCTATTGGAGTGTGGGAACATGTTCTACTGCATCATTGTAGAACCCGGAGGTGACCCAGTTCTATCCAGCATTCTATTCTATTCTCAAGGGCAGATAGTGTCTCCTTTTATGAATTCACTATTTGCTAGTCCAGCGTTCACCGTGTTTTCATAAAACGCCACACATTATGACGCATTAGCAGTAATGAAATAACACTGTATATTACAAAAAACACATTTTGTCTATTGCTTTGCAGATATTTTAAATCATACATGCAACAAGTCACAACAAAAGGTTAAACTGTTGCAAGTAACTCCACAAATTATTCTTTTAACATTGTTAAGCCGTCTGTTTGCAAATTCATATTCAAATGTTAATATATTGCATCTTGTGTACTGTATGGGAACTACAGCCCAAATCTCACCTGCACCTGAGATTGGGAATCAGTCAATTGATGGATTTAAGACCGTAAGACTGTTTTGAACTGAATTATTTGGTGTATAATAGTTAAGACATTTAATAATAAGTCTTTCTATTAATTATGTGTTGTTTGCGTGGCACGTTTCACTGCTCTGATTGGAAGAAAAGATTACCCAGTTTGCATTTCACTGACTTTTTTCGACACGCTATACTGTGACTGTTCCCCCACACATACTGTATCATAACTTTCATTTTCCTTTTATTCCACGTGCTATACTAGGACCTTTTTAGGACTTTTTTCTACATGCTATACTGACTTTTTTTTAAAAATACTATACTTTGACCTTATTATTGTAAGTAATTTTTCAACATACCATATAGTATGACTTTTTTAACTTTTTTTCAACATACTTTACTATGACTTTTTTTTGGTATATTGTACTTTGACTTTTTCAATCACTTTTTTATGACTTTAAAAAAACTATAGTATGGCTTACTTTAAATATTATACTATGACCGTTATGTCATACTATACTATGACTTTCCTAAGACCTTTTACAAGATAATATACTATTTTTTTCATGAAATACTACAGCAGGATTTTTTTGAATTATGACTAATTCTTTATCTTATTCATAATTTATTCAAAACAATACTTTAGCATGCTTTTTATAACTTGTCTTTTGACATACTATACTATAGAATTTTAACAATGTTTTATCATACTATACTGACTTTCTTTGTTTACTTGTTTGGCATACTATACTTAGGCTATCATGACTTTTTTGAACATATTTACAATGACTTGCTTTTTGGTTTCTTCAACAAACTATACTATGACTTTTTATTACACTGAAATGACATACAGTACTATCATGCTTTTCGGGCTTAAGAACCTCAATAATTGGTTATTAATACATACAATAGTTGCCAAATCAGTCAAATCGATTGACTAATGAATTAATCGACTAATTGTTCACACAAAAAATGGTAATCTGTATTTTCCAACGAAACTTTAGAACTGGAGAAACATCACTGAGACCTTTATGTTGGGAGATAATGCTGACTACAGTCCTGCTTTTGAGTGCGCATACATTTTACAATTCTTATTTTAGACTTTACTTTTAAAAGACGAGCTTCTCACAACCTTTGAGTGTCATTTTGTTGGTGTTAATTTAAAACGTGCAGTTGACGAGGACACTGTTCAGTTGACATATACTGTATATATATGTAATTATTAAATAAAGATAATGACGAGACGAAACTGATGAAGGAAATCCCAAATGTCGCCTCAGCATTGTATGATTCGACTTCAAGCTAAGAGGAATAGCTCGGCATTTTGGGAAATGTTGAATCTTTTTTCTTCTTTTTTCCAGTTAGTTAGATGAGAGGAGTATGGATGGAGGTTAGCTTAGCTTAGCATACAGAGCAGAAACAGGGGAGAGGTAGCCCCGCTCGGTCCTCTGGACCCTTTCTACCAGAACTGTGACCTGTAACAGACAGTCAGTGAATTGCTTTATTGAGTTTCCAGACAAGTTTAACAACAGGCCCACTTAAAAAAAACACAAAGAAACAGAGAATCAGGATCAACGTCACAACATTACAGTGAGAGTAATAAAAATAAAGGGCTCCATTAAAATGTCCGCGAACCCCCGAAATGAAACTGAGCGTGAAGAATCACAAGAGTTCTTCCCTTTTTAAGCTCCTGCAACACAATTGGGGACGAGGAGGTGGAAAAAGAAACGGGCTGAAACTTTCGAGAGAAGGGACAAGTATCATCATCAATAATAGTCACAGTAAGAGATTGCTCGAATAGCGTGTATTGCACATGTGTACACATATATGCGCTTTATGTACATGTGAGTCTGCGAGACCTAGACACGTGTTGTATCGTCGCGACGGGAAAGAATCCGGATAAAACGACAGCACGGGACAGAGTCAGGAATGTGCTTGTGATCGGTTCCAACCAAACGGCGTGGTGTGGGGTTTTTGTTGTTGTTTTTTCTCCAATTTTTCAGTCACGAGCCGGACGAGAGAAAAAGGTAACGGAGAGAACGTCTCCCCTTCAAAAAGAGAGGGAGGTAAAAGAGAGAGGGAGGGAGGGAGGGAGAAGGCAACAGTCACACTGATACCGAACCTCCTCTGTCCCCACCCGAGAGTCCAAAAAATACCCCCCCCCCCACCCACACATACACACACACACACACACACACACACACACACATACACACACACACACACACCCCGCATCATAGCAGGACACTACATTTACACCACAGTATCAAACATATTAAGAAATATACAGTATTTAACTTGTGTAGCAAAATAGTCTGTGTGCGTGAAAGTGTGCGATTCACCTGTGTGTGTGTGTGTGAGTGGGCGGTAGTGACAGTAAAGCTGTGCGGCCTCTGGGCTGGGGAGGAGAAATCTTGGCCTTAGACGACACAAACCATCAGACCCGTCAACACTGGTCATAGAGCGGCAACCACCACGACTTCCGATTATTACACTCTGGCTCTTATTGTTTAACTCACTAAAGTGAGCTGACATGTCCTAACGCAGCAACATCACTACTACAGAAGGCTGACGTGAGTTAGTTAGTAGTGTCTACAGCTGTATTTATACACAGGCCGGTTAAAAGAGCCTGAGGTCAACAGATAAGTTCCCATCTGGATTTGAAACATATTTCTAGAGAATAGGCAACAGGAAATGCTAGTTGACCGTTCAGCCGCAGTGTGAAAATATCCCATTAAACCTCTGCAGGACAATATGACATAATCATCGTATTGGCGAGGAAAGAAAATTAGAGAAAAACAAAAATCAGCAAAACAAGATATTTAAAAAAAAATCGACATTTTCTCTTTTTATTGTGAAATAGTTGTTTCAGACCTCTACAACCGCTCTAAGACCGCTCTTTGGTTGAACTGCTTGCAACTCATACACACATTGACTCTTTGGGTAAAGCGCTTCACATTGACGGTAAAACAGTGATACTCCCTCACTGTACAGGAACACAGCTGTGGCGGGTACGCCGTGGGTTTCTATGCGTTTGTGCTGGCTCGTGTTTCTTTCTCCGTCAAACTTATATTTATTGAAGTTCTCGAGTTTCCAGATGAACCTGATTAGTACATTGTTATTATTGTCTATGGAAATGATGGCATAAATCTACAAAAAAATAAGGCCCAAGTTGTGATAAATCAGAATTACCTTTCAATGTTGAAAACAATAGATCTTACACTGCAGTTCCTCTAATGGCCACTAGATGCTGGTAAAATACTATTCATTGTCGGTAGTAGTTTAAAACATTGTAGTGTTGTTACTAAGACATTTTTAAGTGGCGTATAAATGAAAGTATAAAGTATAAATTGCTCTGTGGTAGTTGCCGCTTTCTTGTTCCACATGAACTCCAGCTGAGCTCAGTCATCAACACCGCACTGCCGTGTTTGATGGCTAATTTTTGTCTTGTATTACAAAACTCCCCCCTCCCCCCAACCTGAGGCCCTGCTATTACCGACTACTGTTGTGACGGACGAAATGGCCATAGTGTTTACACGAGCACAGAAAAGAACAGACTACACTGAACCGCCAGGAAACACAGCTCAATAAATCAATCAACCCGTTGATCAATCCATGCTGGTGCTCGACCCCATCAAAAGCCAGGGAGAGCTTCACCAATGTGCGACCATGGCAACGCGTGTGCTGGTCTTTGTAGTCCTGCCGGTCACTGCTGTCCTATTAGTGTTATATTGCTTTGAACAGAGGGGACCCAGAGGTTAGCGGCGTCGGCTACGACGCTCGCCACATAGCAGAGGGTCGTGGGAAATGGAGTTTAGTGAGGTTGTGTCCGGCAGAGTTGAGTATTTATGGACGTGGGTGATAGAATGGTCCAGTTCTGAGGCTCTGCAGCCGTTGGGTTTCTCCAGTGAGCGGAGGACGGTAGCTTAAAGCTTTCTTGAGTTCGGACTAAAGAAGTGGCAAACAAACGGTCTTCCACGTTTAAGTGCGGTGGTTCTTGGGAGAATTGTGGCATCATTTGGCAGAACGTACAGAACACGACGTCTTCGATTGAAGGATACTGCGGAGTTGATTTGCCAACTAAAACTGTAATCTTTAAAACAAAATAAATATATTTGTGTAATTGGTTTGGTGCAGCGTAATCATGAAGCTAAAGAAGTCGGTTTAGGTAAAAAAATCATAAAATTTGTTACGGGGAGAATATTGAAAATATCAATTTACAGGATGGTCACTTCAAAGGCAGGAAAATGACCCCACTAACCCTGACCAAGAAAGGTCTCCTCCATTCACGTGGTTTAGATTGGCGCTTTCACGATGCAATTCTGTCTGGCACCGGGTACGATCTCCCGAGAAAATGAACCGGTAGCGATCTGTAGCTAGCCCAGGTTACTTTACAGTTACTATCCTCGTAAGTCTTGCCGTAACAAAAAATGCATTTAAAAAAAAAAAAAAGTTTCATTAACCAATTTAAGACGTTTTAAGAATCTGCGACAACCCCCCCAAAAGTTAGAACCCCGTGCTCGCAAAAGACTTATCGAGCACAAATCAACTGAATGGAAATGGCAACTACAACGTTGCCCCAGCGTGTTTCACAACGCGCTCACTGCGTGAAGTAAAAACAGTTGAAACGGTCATTCTGTTCGGCGACATAAACACGGAACGCAAAAGTGCAACGAAAAGCTCATTCAAGTCCGAATTCTAGCCGAGTACAACGTATTGAGGCGTAGCTCATCATCACTGGACCAACCTATTCACCAACACGACCTTTGACCTTAATATCCCCCCTTCTGTAGCTGCTGCTGTTGGCCTGTGGAGTGCAGCACTGCATGCTTGGTCCTGCCAGAGGAACTGGAGCTCCGCTGTCCACCTCCAACCACGACAACAACAGTATCCAGCCATCCTCAACATCTGTAAACAAACAAACAAACATACAGGTGGTGGTCTGGTGACATCAGACCATGTGCTTACTTCCTGTCAACAACCAAACCTTTAAAACATCAAATCTCCAAATAGAATATATTCATGAATCCAATCCGATTGGATAAAACATAATATATACATACATGTGTGTGTGTGTATAATATTCTTTTTTCTTTTTTTATACAAAAAGAGAAAGTACTTTGTGTTTTTTATACATATACGTATGTACAGAAATAGAAAAGTGACCACACTGAGTCTGCTGTGACGTAACCATGGGCAACAGGACAGGAGGAAGTATTTACACCAAAGAGGAAATATTACAATTTAACAACAACAACAAAAAACGAGGGAGGGACGTGGTGGTGGTCGTCGTGGTGTTTTGAAAACGTGCCACAATCCCACAATCCCCTTTTCGAGAAGAAATGGGGATCAGCTGACGTGACTCCCAATCGGAACGAGCGAAAGAGAGAGAGAGATGCGTCACATGTCTCAACCAATGAAGACTGTTAAAACGGGCCGGATCCTGAGACACTGACACTAGATCCCAGAAAGGTCTGAGTGAACGTCATCATTAACGGGAATGACAGAAATATTCAATGGAGACTTCTGCTGGGGATTTCCAGTGTGTAATGATGGCTTTAGAGGATTCTCTTCCCAAACTAAATTAAAGTCTGTTGGGGGTACCTGGCATGAATATTGTCAGATTTGAAAGAAAATACAATTCTTAGCAGTTTCAATAACCCTATA